CACTATCCCAATATAACCCCTATAACCTTAGCCTTAGCTGATGTCATCCAGCTGCGAAGAGGTGCAGCGGGCTCCAGATCTGCAAGGGCCCGAGCGTTACCCAAGGCTGCACCTCCAACAGTTTGGGGGTTAGGGTTATAGTCCCCCCTTAAGTAGATATAGGGGTTATAGGGGTTATATAGGGATAGTGGAAAAGAAAATGGAAACTACTACTTAGAGTTTAGGGTTTAGAGTTATAGTCCCCCAAAAGTAGATAGAATATGGGGTATGTGGGGATCTTCTTATGATATACCCAAAGCCACTTTATATCTACTTTAAGGGGGACTATGAGGGCTTCAAGGTTTGGGGCAAAACCCTAAACCCCGACGGGTGGGTAGTTCCCAGGTAAGTACCCCCATACCCGGCTCCTTTCAGGCGCGTGTATTACGGGGGAAATGGGGCTATATAAGGTTGGTGTACATGGGGGGGGGTCCCAAAATTAGGATTACTTCTTAATCGTCCCCATAAGTGGGCAAATAGCATTGCGGGGTCTATATTGGAGGTACCCCTATTTAGGGAAGCGACCACATAGGCCTCTATGAAAGGCCTCCAGTTGAGGGTTTAGGGTCGCACACTAGTCCCCAACACTGCGACGTCATGTGGAACTTCTTCGGGCAGCTCTTTTCACTGCACTTTGAACGGAAAAGGGTGCCCAAAAAGCCTTAATGAAGGGACATGCCCCCCCGAAATTTCTGACTTCAAAAAATGTCAACCATATAACCCCAATATACTAAAGTAGTCTCCATTCTCTTTTCCATTATCCCTATATCCCATACAACCCCAATATGTGTTTTCCCAAAGTAAGGTATGCCGGGCCCTCGGGTTGCTTCCTACACCGCCAGAAAGTTGGGTCCCCTTGGGTTATCTGGCTGCTCAACTTAAGATGGCCAGGAAGGCTTGCAACCAGACTTAATCTACATGACGGGTATAAGGGAATATAGGGGTATAAAATAGGGTTATATAGGGATAATGAGAAACAAGATGGAAGCTACTGTTTAGGGTTTAGGGTGTAGGACATGTATACACCGTTCCTTTTTCAACAACATAAAATGTATCCAGTAGAAGATATCCAGAGGACGCCCTGCCTCATACTCGTCTGCGGAGCCTTGGGACAACCGGTTTTGTGGTGTGAAGCAGCTGGAAATGCTGGGAGCCAACAAGAGCTAACTGAGGCTGACTCGGAGTCTCAAGTTTGGCACATAGCTGCTTCTCAGACTGAGAGTCCATAATCAGGAAGACCTGTACCGGGGAGCTTAGGCCGCATGCAAAAACAGGGTGCAATGGGACCAACATTCCTCTGTGCGTGATAACTGGAACCTTGTTTGTCCAGATTGACTGGTAAGTAAGATGGACCTAAGCCAACCTTTTAACCACCAAAGCTCATGGTCATGTAGAATGCTAGCCAAGCAATTGTTTGGAATGACAAGACAGGACACCCTACTTGGAAGGGACGTAGCACATGGTCACGAGGATCATGGAAAATCGTTAGTACAAAAGGTATCCGGTTTCAAAGCATTAAACACGACACCCTATACTTCATCTGACCTTCCAAGTCATTAAGACATCTGCTGGTAGGCTTTACCAAGGCCATATAGTCGCGATATAGTCGAAGCCCCTTCCAAACCTAAACGGGTAAACCCTATTGGGAGGGCCAGAAGGCTTACTAAATACATTAGTAACCCCCATAAGCTATATGGTAACCTTAGCTATGCCATGATAAACCTACTTGCAAAATCCGCATGACCCTCCTCCATTTCAATCACCTTAGCTTCGCAACCTTTTTGTATCTGGCGGCGTAGAGGGCACGGTGACCCAATGTAAAGGAGATACCCCAACACAGCTATAGGTACACAACAGCGACTCCAGGAGCCTAGTCTTTTTCTTCCTGTGATTTAGACGGTTTCCAGAATTGTGGCCCCTTTCGTTACCCACGGTATCAAGGGCCAAATGTTTAAATGGGTACCCGGAGAAAAAGCACCACAGTTCTGACAACCTACCGTGTACCTACTAATCATGTTCGTGAAGGAATTCTTTGCGCCCTATAGTACCTAATTCCTTGTACTTAGAGCATGATCAAATTCCCAATGCAGGGCAGCGTCAAACACCAAACTACTGTAACTATGCGATAGAGTTCGGGTGAGAGAGTTGCTGCTAAAGTTTGCCTAGCTAAGACCTTTCCCAAATCATGTCCGGTCTGGATATCTAGAAAGTATGATACGTTCAAGTCATCTTTGATTTGCTACATAAGTACCCTGCTAGTTCAAATGAACCGGATGTTTAAACCCATGCTGGAGCTACTCATGCTCACAGACTTCTGAGACACTACAGCCTCAACATATACACACCTCAAAGCCCGAGAAACGCTCATCACATAAACTTAACCTCCAAAGGCCGCAACCTCCAGAAAAACATCTTTTCTTTGAAGTCGCTTTCTTCGCTTCCACTTTCCAGATCGCTTCCCTGAACGTTGAGCTTGTAATGGGTCAAACTCTGGGCTGTCTTGGGGCATCCTTCTTGAGTAGGCACCAATGGGTTCCACTGGGGTGGCAGAAACCCACGGTCCCCCTTTATACCGCAAAATAACCTAATCCTTCTTGTCTGAAACCCGGGAAGGGACCTCGCAGCATTCCAAACTCTAAGCATATTTCCCGATATCTGGTGGTAATTTCCCAAACTTAGGGGTACCTTGTTGGGAGTCCCTATAATAAGGATTCTAATATTTTGGGTCTATATTCGGGTGCCCTTATTTTGGGAAACTACCATATGTATGTATGCACATGTATCCCTACGTTACATGTCCCACGCGGCCCCTGTATGCAAAATGTATAAAGGCGATTAGTTCCATTACAGGCACCCCCAAAAGGAAGGGTTTGTTGATGATGAAGGCTTACCATGGCTGCTACTTCTTCTTCTCCCCGGTGCTTAGTACGGAATGAAGGAACTGGTTACCAGAAGTGGTGGTTTCCAAAAAGGAAGGGGAGGGGGCAATATAGACCCTAATATACTATAATCCTTATTATAGGGGTGTTCACCACTCTGAACATTGACATTGCTATTGCAACTACTGAATGTGGGCTGTTTGTGTATTCTCTACCACTATGACCAGATTAGGCCGTCAGGATACCATGCTCTTCCATCACAGCATTTCTCACTCTGCGCTAGCCGCTAGCTGCATGACTTCATGTGACTCTTGTGAACGTCACCAAAAACCCGGCTACTGCAAGCCCCTGAATAACTGGAATGAGGCTTTGGGGTGTATTGCACCATTTCTTCACAAGGATTGTCAGACAAGAATATTGAATTTGTGGGATCTACACAGATTGGAATTTGCGACTCAAGTTCAGGCGCCGGATGGATATGCACAGCGCAATATCTCTGACTGGGGATGACTGGGGGGCGGGCTGCTTCAGTGAAGTTGTCCCTGAAGGCCTGAAAACCCCTCGCGAATCTCCAAAAATCCTGACCTTTGAAATTAACCCTCCCTACCGTCCTAATACTAGATACCCCCAATACCGCACCATGATACGCGAGAGATACCGCACCATGATACGCGAGAGAGGCACATTATTGGTGACAGGGGAATTAGGAAACCCAGGGCTGCCGCGCAGTTTAAGATTCTGGGTTTAGGGGAAGGCTTAAGGGTTTGCAATCCTGAAATAATCGCAAGTCTGCCATGACTTCACAAAACCAGTACATGCTACACTCCCTAGACGCGGCAGGCTTCAGGTACAGCCCGATCAGTTGCTGCCTGCTCAGAAAACATACTCAAAGCATGCGGACAAGAAAGAAACAGCCAGCATCCTAGATGAAGCAGACTGTGAACAGACATACCTGCAACGTCTCTGAGCCATCAAAACGAAGGAAGCAACAGCCCCAGATGCTAAGTCATCGAGGCAAGTATGAAAGCACCGTGCTCAACCATAGAAGAGAACTTTGAACAGCCTGCTTTCTGATCGGAGGTAGTGCGTAGGTGATGTCATCCGGAGGAGCCCTGCCCACGAAAAATTCATGGTAGAGTGTTGATGGGTGTGCATCTGGCAAGATGGCTACAGGATTCATGTCCGAGGTCTACAGTTCGGCGTCCAGGAGTTCGCAGTCTTTGTACTTTGTGGTGTAAGGTCGTGGTTGACTGTTTCAGATTGGGGTTTTCCAGTTCGGCTTCGAGGTACCAACTGTGAAAAAGCTTTAGCTTTGGTAGAAGTAACAGCATGAGCGGCAATAAGCAGAAGAAGATGAACTAGCAATGACAGCTGCCGTAGTGGTACTAGTAGAGGAGCAGAACCAGTAGCGGTAGGGTAACTGTAGCGGAAGCGGTCACGGAAACAGCAGCAGCGATGGCAGTACGGTTTATACTAAAATTCCTGCACGACCGTTGTGTGCTATTATTTGAATTTATTTGACAAAGTCTCAGGCACCTAGAGTTATGCAAACTTTTCGGTTCACCATATTAATTACTAGCAGTAGTAGGGGCAGCAACGAAAAAGAATCATAGCAATAGAGTTTTTTAGCAATGGAGTTTTTTACGCAGTACTAGTAGCAGCTGGCAGCTGGGGGAACAGTAGGAGCAGTACTGGTGGTAGTAGTACACGCTCCGAGGTAGCCATCCCTCCTGGAAATACTCATGCACTCTAAGCAACATGCCAACCCCGTCGCGCCCAACAAAACAGCTTGAACCAACTGCCGCCCTAGCCGCACGCAGCATAGTGAGTCAAGAATTCTGCGACACTTCTTGGCGTCATCCTCCAAAACAGCACCTCTTCGCATTTACACTTGCCCGAAAAAGAACTTAACCTTACAAGGATTCCTTCACAGACTGTTGTCCTTCTGAGATGGGCAAACGCGGGTTCCATGTGTTTGGGAGCGCAGAATGTTTTGCTTGAACTTTCTGGGATGAATGGAAGATTGATCCCGTGCTCTGCAGGCTGCGTGCAGAAGCGCTAATTTACGGCAAGGGTCGCCATGATCGCCAACGTTATGGTTCTCGATTCCTGGTGTGATTCTTGTATGGGCTACCTCAAACGGACCTCAACATCTCAAAGGCTCATCCTAAACCTACACCTTAGACCCTAGACCTTAAACCCAAAACCCTAGACCTTAAAATCCAACGCCTAAGACCTAAACCCTCAAGCCATACCCCAGGCGAGGTCCAAGCTCCAAGCCCTGCACATTCTCTTTGATACATAGGGATATACAGGGGTGTATAGATGGGTAGTTCCCAAAATTAGGGTCCCATTTTGGCACCCCTAAATATAGATGCCGTAAAACAATCTAAAAGCAAAAGGGGCGAGAACAACCCATATAGGTATGTATATGTACATGGGTATATATATATATATACATATGTATACATAGAGAGAGGGGAGAGAGAGAGAGAGAGAGAGAAAGGGGATATGCAAGGATACAATGGGGTATAAATAGGGGCAGGCATAGAGACTTTGTAAACAACCGCATTTTTGCGGGGGATTGTTTGGAATGCTGGGCAGTGCTGGGCAGTATTTAACTTCAGGCCCTTGCATCCTCGCATGACACCACCCCAGTCTGCACAAATCCAGGCCCCCTCTATTCATCCAAAAGCATTATGCACGGGGTAATCTCAAATGGGAGACTTCAAGAACGACGACCGAGCAATTTTGTGGGGACTCCTCTTCAGGGGAATACGGACGAATACCTCTTCATATCCCGAAAAATCCAATTTTAAAATCCAATTTGACGTCACAAAAAGTACCACCATCCTGGAAGCAACTATTGATGCGGCCGGGCCGCGTAGCAGCTCAGAGAAATCTTCAAATGTGAGCTCACTGTTCAAGTCCTTCAAATCTTCCTGGCAGCAGCTTCCATTGCAGCCTCAGAAGTCCTGCTGTGGCTTCTCGAAAATAATTTGGGGTCCTAATCCCAAGTCTAATGCCAGCTGCTAGTAATAGTCACACTGCTGGTAACAGTCACGCTGCTCGTACCTGCTGCTGCTGAAAATATATCCATGATAAGGACCAGAATAAGCACTGTCACTACTGCCACCTCTACCTCTACCCCTCTGCCTCCTCCCATGCCTCCACCTGTAACGCGCCTTAGGCGTGTTAGCCGAACAAGTCAATCAGCTTCAGCACTGGAAGCTCCCCTCAACTGGATTTCTGCTCAAGAACCAACATTAAGTTAACATAAAGAGGATAGGGGCCATTATAGGAAAAAATGGTAGTATCGGGGTTACTATAGGCCTTATGGGGATTCTGTTGGGAACCTGTGTACACCCTGTACAGTCCTTCATGAGAACACCCATGATCATCCCTATTGCCCGCTCCACCACTCCCAAACAGGCAGGCGTAAGGAATCGATCCTTGTCATAGTCTGGCAGCAAGAGCCAGAGTTGCGAAAATCCCTCGAGGAAGATCGCAGCTTCCTAGGCAGCAGAAGTACCGTCCCCCTCACAATTGTAATCCCTTAGACCTACACGTACTAAAAACCATGTTGTCAATACTTCCTTGGGGACATCCTACAAAAAATGTAAAACAATCCCTGAGCCCTAAGCCGATCCCTCCCACCTCATGCTCCCGCACTTCATGATTTCTGGGGACACTATCACAAGAACCGACATGTCAACAAGGATGTACACTCCATCTGAGCCATAGTCTAAGCTCCTGAGAGGGGGTTATATAGGGGATTATATAGGAGAGTATTATTAGGAGGGATGCTGGAAGTTTAGACTAAAAAGTCGATTGAATTCGGGAAGAAGCGTGGCCCAAGTCAAGGTCTGCAACAGAAGCTGCCCTTCCCCAAACTAGCATGGATTAGGTGCCCCCCTGCGCCGTAACAGTGGTATACTAGGAATACAAGAAGACCTTGATACAGTCACTATCATCCCTTGTCGTCACTATTACTGGGTGGGGGGGTCCACCTAAAGGGCCCTAGAACAACGACCGTCCTTTTTGCAAGGCTAGCACGCCTTTCCTCCCTACTCCCTCCGTCAGCAAAGGCATGCGGATGGGGACCCCCAAACAAGAAACCCCCAGAATCTAGCAGGAATACGGTAATTAAAAATGTACCTACCAAGGTCCTCATATTTCTACTATGGATCTTCCTTAGGGGTCTTTTCATGCAGAATCTGAGGCGTGAGTCTGCTGGTTGGAGGCTGCCAGTGTTTTCGTAGTCAGAGACGAAGAAAAGATTGAGGGCGGACACCACATCCTGCGTTAAGTCGCCCCAGTGCCGCGGGTTTAGGGTTTAGGGTTTAGGGTTTAGGGCTTGATAGTTGCAATGGCTAAACAGAATCACAAAGTTGTGCATGGCAAAGAGGCCTACCATCACTGAAACATGCTTGAGGATCCTCAAAGGCCGCGTAAGCTTAGGCATAATCTGTGAATTCGTCCTGCACTACCGCAACGCCAAACCTCATGGGGCATACCATGGCGCCCCCCAGTATATGGGCCCCCACACATTAAGGACATTATTAGGGATTGTAAGCCCTAAACCCTAAACCCTGACTATGAGGGCTCATTGAAGCCAATTGGGGCTATTGAAGCCTATTAGGGCTTCTTAGGCCTGGTTAGTTTAGGGCAGGCTGTTGTATATTGTTCGGGCTTTAGGGTTTGGGGTTCAGCCTTCTCACCAGGTTTAACGCATCCACCTTTGTTTTTTTGGGGGGGCTGTTTGTGTATTGGGGCTGAACCAACCTAATTACCCAATACCTCATCATTCTGATGCATTCTGAGGTTCTGATAGTCACCGCTGTCATCCCTGGGCCTTAAACTGGGATAAGTCTTAGGGGCCCTAGAGACATTACATTATTTTGTATGGCTTTCTTGGGAGTGTATAGAGATCATGGTCTATAATATAAAAAGAAGTACTCTCAAGAACATCCCAGCTGTGAATGGGGAAGCCCCTACCTAGCTTCCCAGTTTCCATGACAAAGCCTGTATTTGTCCCAACCCATGCCCTCAATTCCAACTGAGCATCAATAAAAAAACCTATACATGATCAGACTAGCGTTTGGGGTGTATATTCTACTTTGGGTAAGGGCTATACTTATACTGGCATTGTCTTGCAAATAAACTCTTAACCCAAGCCCTAGACCTTGAACCCTTTTTGCATCTGAAACCCTAAAACCCTAAAACCCAAAAACACTAAACCCCTAAACCCTAAAACCCTAAAACCCTAAGCCCTAAAACCCGAACACCCTCAACCCCTAAAACCCTAAAACCCTCAGCCCTAAACCCATTCCCCACGCTTCTACCACAGATCTTGCAACTGCTGGCCTGGACCCGACTGTGGTGCTCCAAAGCCTGCAGCAGCTCTACAGCCTCAGCTTGAAAGTTCAATCCCCATGGTCAGTTTAGGATTTAGGGTTTAGGGTTTAGGGTTTAGGATTTAGGGTTTAGGGTTTAGGATTTAGGGTTTAGGGTTTAGGATTTAGGGTTTAGGGTTTACGGTTTCTAAGAACAATAGTAATTACTACATTAAGGTATTAGGGTTTTTAAGAACAATAGTACTACAAATAGGAATGATAGTAGTAATAACATAACTTCAGGGTTTAGAATCATGAGAACAGTAGTTTCACAATTAGAAATGATAGTAGTGATAACCCCATCCCACGATGGCAGCAATTAATCCACGGCACTGTTGCGAGAATCTTGCCGGACATATCTTAGTAGGGGCGGGGCTTACAACAAGGGCAGCAGCATCATGCATTCATAGCCTGCAAGAAAGATGTTTTAGGATTATTTCCTTAGCAACCACCCCTGAGGTGAGGCCGGATGAGGTCGTGATACTTCTTGGGTAGCTTGTAGAGACTCCTACAAAAACCCGAGCCCTTAGGCCATGCTCCCACGTCAGGGGCCTCCATGCTTGGGACCTGGCACAATCATAATAATTTTAGGCATGCGGACCCGCGGACGTGTTTTGGTCGCCTTACGCAAGAGGATACGGCAGCCCGCCCTCTCTTCTTGTTGCAGCTGCGGCAAAAGCCCTTGAACAGCGGCACCTGTCAAACGCAAAGTGTCTTTTTCGTGAAGGTCACCCTCGTGTTCTACCCCAAAAGCTAATCTGAAGCCCCTGACTCTTTCTAGGGTTTGCAGTAGCCTGACCGACATCAAAGATGGAGATCCGGTATACCTCACATATTACAAGGTCATCCTTGAATGTCTGAAAACAGTCCTGACAAAATTATCGAAGGGACGCCTATTTCGAGGTCGCCTGGACTTAGTATCTACCTACAGCTGGGCATCTAACCCTACTTATAACTGCCCTAAGTAGCCTTATAGGGGTTACCCAACTTCGACTTCTAAGTAAGGTGAGAGCCCCAGTCATAAGTTATAAGTAATCCAAACCTTATCCCCCACAAGCCCTACACCCTGAACCCCAGGAACTAAATCATGTGCAATCGACTTGAAACTGCCCAGGATCCAAATGGTCTCTTATGCCAAGTAACTCCCACTCCCTGGGAGCGAAACCCCTCCTGGCAGTGGACGATTCATTAAATCATAGTTGGGGCCATCATGCGCCAGCCAGCCTCCCTGAACCCTAAACTCTAAACCCAAAACCCTAAACCCTAAACCCCAAACCCTGAACCCTAAACCTAGGGGATATTGGGCTCTCTGGGCATCAGCTTAGAGAGACAGTTCTTGACCAAGGCGCGGCATCGACCTCGCCATTCAGTTGCCGATGCACCTTCCGGGGGACCCTTGCAGTTACTGGGAGTTAGCATGGAAAAAGGGAACACAATATAGGGATGCTGTAGGGTTTATGGTCCCTCATTTTTTACTAACCACCTGTAAGTAAACTCTGGAAAGACAAGGACATAAGGGATACAATAAGGAGGATCTTCAAAAACTCCCACTTGAAGGCTTCAACAACTCCTTCCGAGAGTAGTTATGACAAGGACTGCGGTCTATGCTGAGGACCTTGGTTTATGGAAACCTTCATGTGAGCCATTGTCTAAACTCCTAGTATCCCCCCTTAATAACCTCTATAGTAGTGCCTTATATGTTCCCTACATAACCTTTAAGGAGTTTAGACTACAGCTCATGTAAACCTTCTGCCTGGCTTTGAGGTTAGGACACTGGGAATCCTCAGGTTGAGGGTTTATAGTCCCCCTTAAGTAGATAGAATATGGCTTTGGGTATATTATAATACTATCCCCATATACCCCATATTCTATCTACTTAAGGGGGACTATAGGCTTTAGGGGTCTAGGGATATCATAGGCATTTGATGAACCCTCAATCCTGGCCTCTCGAGCCCAGGAGGAGCTATTCCTTCTGGGCTGGAGGGTCTAGGATTCAGGGTTGAGGATAGAAACTCTAGAGCAAAATCACAACACTCTGCTCAAAACTTGCCCAAAACTCCCGAAATTAACCATATACAGTTTCTACAACCCCGTAGTCTTTAGAGCTTGAAGGAACCGATGGGGGAACAAAGTCTCATATCAGCCCCTCGGCTCCTCATGATAATATACTCGTGGTTAGCAGGGACTGAGGGGACTATATGGGGATCGCTATGAGCATCCACTTCCCCGTTCCCTACTTACCGACAACAAGATGAGTCGAGGGACATGACCCTATAATTACAACCCCTATATAACCCCACACAACATAACCCTACAGCACCCCTGTATACTGCAATATAGCGGGATAACACTACATGTTTGAGGGCGGCGCCGTCTCAAACTTCTCGTCCACATCCTTCAGGCCCTGCGGGCTGTGTAACTTGGGCAAGGGATACAGTAAAGCCTTGGAGTTTACAGTAGGGTTTAGGTTTTGTTGTGCTGAGTTTTGCTGACTCCTGCAAGAGTCTTGGCGCAGCAGTTTGTTGAGCAGCCTTTTGAGGGTCTAGGCTGTTGGAAAAACGCTGCCTTAGGGCCCCTGAGTGGAAGAGCAAAACCCAGGTACCGACACAAGACAGGGGCAGAAGGTACTAACTGGCTTGTATTTGGATCCTAATCAACTTTTCCGAGAGAACTTCCCAGATTCCCAGGGCACACCACCTTCTTGGGATCCCTTCCATTGTCATGTTGATCAAAGGATTTGAGGGCCTCACTTCGAGGACTACGAGGGAACATTTTGTGATAATGCCACATCTCAAAAAAATCCACAAACCAGGTCTGCAAGTTACATGGACCGAATCCTACTCCTAGTCCTACTCCTGCTCCTACTCCTGCTCCTACTCCTGCTTCTACTCCTGTTGCTACTGGTACTGCTACTGCCAATGCTGGGGCTACGGTTACTGCTACGACCTTTATCATCACCACTACTAAACCCTAAAGAAAAATCTTGACTCTCTTACGTTCGCTATCCTAAACTCCAACCTAAAACTCTGGTCACTATCAGGGATATAGGGCTGTAAGGGATAAGTTGCATCATATGAAGGTCTAACCGGTGAACGCTAAAACGCAAGGCCGTAATCAAACAACAAACCCCAAAATCTTAAACTGGTTTCATTCAAACAGTAAACCCATATTCCTGATTGGACACTAGTAGAAACGGGAATAAAGTGGTATGAGCCGCTAAAAAACAACACGTCAGCTTCCATGTTTTGTCTGGGGGAAGTAAAACCTGACCCCTGCGTATCTCCACATACCCTTCCTACTATACTCCCATATAACCCCTATGATAATAGTGATAGTAGGAACTGCCAAAAGCCTAAAGCTCTCCTCCAGGTTGGTCTTCAACTTCACATTGCTGTTTTCCAGGCGCTTGTTCTCAAACGTCAGCAAGGCGACGGAGTCCCGTAAGCTCTGCAAAAAGCAAGGGTCCCTCCTTGGAAACTTGGATTTAGCGCACCTGGGTCTCCGGGCAGAGGTTGCATGAAGAAGAGTGATGCGAACTGTGGAGTGAGGTTTATGGCGTTGCAACGTATGTGCTAAATCTCAAAGTTCCAGAAGAACAACTTATGCGTTGGGCGCTTGCCTAAAATGGAATATAGAGCCGCAAGTCAAGGTTTAGTTCGCAAGGGTGAAGGATGTGGGAGCTGTTTATATGCCTCAGGCGTTGAACATCGGATCTTGAAAGCCAGGGCATGAACCTACTGGTACCTAAGCAGGAATCAAGTTCAGGTTGGCAAGCAAAGAATGACCACAGTATTGGCTTGTCTATGCCATGCTGGTCCTTACTGCAATATTCGAGAGTAACCATCGCGAGCACCATCACCAGACGTTCCTGTACCCTTCGAACAAGACATGGAGCGGCCGCGCTACGAAGATCTGGTGAGATGGGGGTTTCCCAAAATTTGGGGTACCATTTCGGGGTCCCAATAATCAAGGTCGTAATGTTTCCAGGTCTAGATTGGCGACTCCCTATTCATGGAAATTATCAAACTACCAAGTAAACCCTCGATAACCCTATATATAATAGTTTTCACTTTGTTTTCCATTTAATTCTTCATCCTTGGAGGTTTATAGAGGTCTGAGACATCCGAAGCAACCCTGTTGCAAGCTGTTGTCATGATTGTGGTCCCAGTAGACCTGATTACACAATTTCGTTTTATAGATTGATTTTAGTTTTATGAGGTTTTGTAGGGCATGATGCAAAAAAACCGACTATGTTATTGTGATTAGATAGTGGTTATATAATGGATAATGGACAAGAAAACGGAAACTACCAGGTAGGGTTTAGGGTCAGTGGTCCTTGGGCGGTTGAAGATGAAGGGGAGCGGGGTCTACCAACTGGAGGTGATACTTGAGCGTCATTCAACCCAGCATCAAAGTTTCAATCAAAGCGTCACACACCTCTTAAAATCCAGCATGATGGACATAAAAGCACCTCCTGGGAACTGACATGCCAAAGCAACACCATCGATATGCACATCCATCAGCCGAGCGTCCCGATGACGCATATGGAACCTCTGCACTGAACGCAGAAAAGTGGGGGCACATGGAAACTGCGGACGCCTTTGCGATACCTCGTCTACACTGGAGTGTGCTGAAAAGGTGTGAGTCGTTACCTTTGGCCTTCTATTTCTGGTTCCTTATCAGAGCAGCTACTACAGGTATTGCTTCATCTTGCTCATTGGGTAAGGATAAGACAAAACATGTGAGAGCTATATGCGGAAATTACAGGCGCAGCTGCGCAACCTGATGAATCACTGGGGTGCCAGGTGCGCACCTCTGCCATGGATCCTGCTAGGGGTTCAGGGGTTAAGGGGTGACGCTCGTCATGGAAGTAATCAGAAAAGTCTCAGACCTCGCCCAGTCTCCGCTTCAAGCAGGTTGTTGGGTCAAGCTTGGCAGCGGACTGTCGTAAAATCAGGGCGCGCGCATACCCATAGACAAGCATGTAGGTGCCGTACAGAAAAATTGAATCCCAAAGAGGTAACCACAAACTGAAACATGTTCTGGGGGAGTATTGCAATCAAAGTTCAAGATGAAGCAAGATTCTAAACCCTAAACCCTAAACCAGAATCCCAACTCTGTCAGCCAGGAACAGGTCTTCTGGCATAAGACTCTTATTGACTTGTCGCACTCCGACTCCTGTTTCTGTGCGTACTGTCCCGCCGGTTGGCGTGGAGGTTTCCATAGATAGGGGCCCCACCAAAAAAAAACTGAACACCATGATCCTTCAAAATCAGAGAAAGCATTGCCGAAGCTCAACAACCAAAACTTCACAGCCGCCCCACCACTACTGTAGGGGCCTCTGACATTCGAGCAGAGTTTTGAGATACACTATGGTACACGTAGACAAGGATGATAAGGGAATGATAATGATAAAGAAATGATAATATTGGTAATTCTTCAGGCATCTACAGTACCGACTGCTCTTGCATTAAGGGGGTCGTAATCTGATTCCATGTTTGTTAGGGGGAGCAGTTAGCAAGTGGCCTTCATACCGTACACCCTGGCACAAGAACAACTCAAATCATCCAACACCGATTCTTAAAGTCTACTGGCAATGACGCAGCGCTACGACATGAAGCCAGAATCCTTACAGTAGTACGCCTTTTGGCCAATCCTGAACCCTAAACCTCAAGACCCTAAACCGTATACCCTAAGCCCTAAACCTCAAGACCCTAAACCCTAAACCGCGTCACTTACTGGTGGCAGGCCTGCGGCAGTTGCACCCAGAAGAAGGCTCTCCGTGGACAGCCATGCATTCTGGCACATTGGGCTCTAAACCCTAAACCCCAAACCCCAAATCCCCTCAGCAAAGGAGCCCAATTCCTTCTAATTCGGTCTATAATCTTCCTTAAATCATATCAGGGGTCCTTGTACCGCTCGGGGTATATTCCTTGGTGATCGTGTATTGGGCTCCCTGGCATTGTGTGTTTGGGGTCTGGGGTAGATAGTCGAGAGTTGGTCATGACTTGATTCTCGCTAATACCTGCTCTTCTCGTCTTGTATGATAACTCGAGGTGCTCCCCGATGTGTTCTTGTGCTGTCTTGGGTTGAATACATCAAAGGACCTAGGGTAACAGGTTAAGGGTTTCACTAAACCCTAAACCCTAAAACCATTCTGGGCATGGATTTGGAGCGTCGAGTTTTTGGATCCTCTGCTTTTTCTTGGGTGGCTCTTGGGGCTTCAGCACTGGCAAAATTCGGACTTCCACATGTGTCGTGGTTTACAGTTCGGGCCTTGGGGACCAACTTTCTGGTTGTTAGGACGCAAAATGGCATGGAAAAAGCAACTGGAAACTATTGTATCATAGGGGACTATATTGGGGGGCTACTATAGGGATCCATTCCTAATCAACAGCCAGTACGCCAAGAGGTAAGATACTGTCTTGGGCCTCTGGTGCAAAACCAAGACCTCACGATTCACTTGGCAAAGATATGTCTGGTGTATGCGGCTCATATGAATCCTCCAGAACAGCTCCCACTGCAAAACAACAGTCTGATTGAAAAGGCGGACTGGTGTATAGTCATTGGGTTTAGGTCTTCCGCTGGGCATCTTCTTGTATTACAACAGACTGGTAAGAACTGCAACTTTCATATTGAACCCTATAATCCCTATATAACCCATTATAGTAGTTTCCATCTTCTTTTCCATTACACCCCTATATAACCCCAATATATACCCTGTAATCCCTATATAACCCATTATATGAAAACCCTAAACCCTAAACCCTAAACTAAACCCTAAACCCTAAACCCTAAACCCTAAACCCT